ATTTGTGCGCTTGTCTCCTTTTTTTCCATTTTTGTTTTCCTGCACTATCTCATTTATTGCATCTTTTAAGCATTTATTTCCATTCCGATGCTGTGTAATTGATAAGAACTCAATTAAGTTTTTGCTTATTGTAACGACAAGAACATTATTTATTTCATATCCTTTTGAGCTGGCACTCAGTAGGAGATAAACAAGGAACGGAAAAAATCTAGAACATACACACGACAGTCGCCGCCATTTAAATGAAGTGGTCCAGTAATTTGCAAATAATACGAACATGAATAAAGGAAGTGAAGGACGCGTGGGAGCCGAATGCATAGACAATGGCCTAGCTGTAAATTTTAAATAGCCCAGGGGCTGAAAATCGAGGATACAGAATTGCAAAACAGTTTATCCTTTTACTTCCGCATTTTGACGCAAAGGAGAGTCGTGGGACGATGAATGGTTGCACACCAAGCTCGTGCACAAAGTTGACCGGATGCGAAGTAGTTGCAACGGATATGACCGCCTGTGCACCATTGGATTGAATGCGATGGAGAAGCAAAAATTTGCGGGTAGTTGAGGCACTAAATAGAAGGGAGCACATAAGTACGCTCATCCGGGCTGGCAGCACATTAAATGCTGCAGTCCAAAGTGTCCAATCGAATAAATAACTCACATACATATGTATGTACATGCGAGTACATATCTATACAGCCATCAACAAGCAACTGTCCAGCTTGCTAACCACGCGCCAGCAACAAATGTCCAATGGACCGCGCTAACGAACGGCAGCTGGCCTGAGTGAGCATGCAGCCAATGATGCAGAAGATAAGCACCATCAATTGCGGCTGTTGCTAATGGTACTGGAGCTGGTGCTGGTGCTGGGTTCTGTGAAGGTTGATTGGCGTTGGCGCGTATGGTTGGCCCGGAGCAGCCACAACAACAATAATTTTCTTTAAATCCTCTAAACATTTTTCAAACACTCACTTGTTTATTTGTTTTATTTTTGCAAGCGTGCGTATATACTAGGGTGGCCCAAAAAAAGAAGAAAAATCGGAATTTTAAAGCTCTCATCCCCTAAGATTGTTCTGTATCGAAAAAACGCCTCCTTTTTTAATAAAACAACGTTTCAATGTATTTTAAATGGGGTAAACCAAATTTTTCGCTGAAAAAAATCTATATTTTGCAATCGGCAAATTCGTTTCTATGCAGGAGACTTCAAGGAATAATACTAAATTATTTATTTAACCATTTTTTAATATTAACTACTTTTAATTGGTCCCAGTTGGTGAGATCATTATAGTTCCCACTTTACTTTTTTCCCATGCACCATGGACCACCCTAGTGCATAAGCGTGCATCTGTGCATTTATACGTGGGTTATTATTATATTCCATTTATCTTGCTTTATAATACTTTTCAATCTGTAGCTATTTTTACTATCACAATTTTGATTTTTTTTTTCTCTTTATGTCATTAAAAAAAACCCCTTTAACAAAAGCGGCAATAACAAGTGCAAAAACAACAAAAGCGCATAAGATAAAAAAATAGATGCATGTCAATTCAACGTTGACTCAACGTGTAACGAACCCTTATATCCTTCTTGGGTGGCTTTGAAAGATACTAAGCGATATGAATAACTGTAGATCTAAATTGGCTGTTAGGTCTAGCGTTCGTAATGTTTTTGAACGAAATCTTCCCCGATTTCCTCTGTCTTTTGCAAAGTTTCGTCGTTTGTTCGCACCCAGTCTAAGTCATTATATGTACAACTGGACCTCTTAAAAAAGCTCATACAGATATTCCATCCTTTTCGGTATCAATCGACCCCGCGCATAGAGCCATAGATTTTGCGTAGAATATTTTCCTCGAAAGCTTTTAAAGCACACTCGGCAAGAGCCAATGCCGGAGCTTTTTCGAGCTTTCTCGCCGACAGTACAAAGCTTTCTTTGCAAGGCTGTGTGCTGCTGGATTTGCTTGATCTCCAAACTATCATTATTGGTGGTGTTTAACTATGGTGGATCCTAGGTAGACATGTCCATCATCTGTCGATAACAAAGAGTTGACTAAATTTTATATTTTAGATGTTAATGTCACTGCTGATGTACATAGATGATTGCACCGGCAATACGACGTTGCACAGAACCTTTTTGGTCAAGTGCACAGTAGACCATACTACCTTAGAAGCAAACAAAAACAACACGCTGTCGAGTTTAAATAGCGGCAAATCAGCTGCACTTGATAGTAGTTGGTTGAATAAGGAAAATGAATTACAACAAGAGTTTACGGGATGTACATAGCTCAGTGGTTAACGCTTCTGACTTTGAACATCGAATTCGCAGGTTCGATCCCTGCTGAAGTCTAGAAAAAAGAAGTCTGATGAGGAGATGTGGTGATCTCCGAAATAGTGCTATAACTTCTACCGCTTAGACTTTGTTGCTTTTTCAATTTATCCTAATAAACAATCGTGGTACAAAGCTCAATAAAAATATTAAAAACAAAATGTTAAGAAGCCACAATAACATTGACAAACAAAAAAGGTTCGCCGTACACCACTGAGTCTAAAGTATTATTTTAAATGTAAAACGGAGACCCCTACAAGAATATTGATACATATATCGTACATTAAAAACCGACTATAAATGCCAAAGATCCAGTATACAGCCTTCTTCACAACTAATCACTTCAATCGGTTAAAAGGCATTTCCAGTAGGTTTTTCATCTTCTAAATACTAAAAGTCTTCGACATTAACTTTTTCTCCTTTCTTTTGAAAATTGCAAAGGTAATTATGAACATCTTGAAGGCTTTTCTTGACGCGGAACCTCTTGATAATTGTATTACCTGCCCATATGTACGTGACGCATTAAAGGGTACTTCTCCCCTCATATCTTATAACACTTCAGCAGTCATGTCACTATAAAGCTCTTAGAAAGTAAGACCACGAAAAGGTCACACAAATTCACCGACTCAAGCAGATAACTTTTCCTAAACATTTTCTTCCTTCGAGATAAACAAAATTATTCTGGCGAGATTTATTTATAACATTTCTAGACTCAGGTTGCTTTAAACTAGAAGGCTTTTCCAATAAATGACACTGCGAAAGTTATCGTATGACGATAGTACTGGAAATAATGGCTTTACCATTTTTGTTCATGTGAATTTTTTAGTAAGAGGAAGTCCAAAAAACGCATTTCTATAAATTCCGCCGATTAACGCAATCAACTTTACCATTGCAAAGCACACCCTTGCCTTGCATTTTCTAATCCCATCCATTATTTACATTTAAAAGCTTCTTAATATGCGAATCTTGATTGGCTTTCTAATTACCGCTAACAGGAATATGCATAAGACTTTGCTTAGTTAGATTAACAGTTGTAAGTATGTACATATGTATGCTTGCAAAAAAATCACCACACAAAACTAACCCCGACATTTTCCGCAAAGGGCATAAACACGCACGCAAACAAAAGCAGAAAAGATGAGGACGTAATAGCAGCAGCGAAGACATGCACGTTGACTAGGGCAGCACCAGCAGCAGCAACACCATTTATGTTGAGTGGGTACTTGTTGCAAATATCGATTGAAGTACCAAAGGCAGGTGTTTGTGTGGGTGTGACCAAGCTGGCATTCATATGCAAATATACATATACATATACACTTGTGGTCAGCTGATTAAGTTAAGTGACATTTTTACCAGTTTTGATTATTTTTCTTTTGCGTATTTAATGTTTATAATTTTTTTATAAAAGTTTAGCACATTACATAACCAGCACCACATAAATCTATATTTGAAGTTTCGTAAAAAAATTATAAAAATTTAACAAACTTTAACAATTACACCCAAAAATTTTAAACTTTTTATTAAATGTTAGGTATGCAGTTTTATAAGCCCATTAAATTTAAGTAGGTTGTAGTGCAAATTTTAAAACGCTAGCAAATCACGTTGATTTTAATAATTTTTTTTTTTTGGGGACGGTGCTCAAATGCTCAATAATAAAAATCTTTAAATTTCTGGGTTTGTTGTTGTTTGCTGAATTTTTATAAATTTTGTACGGAGTTTCAAATGTAAATTTATGTGGTGCTGGTTACATAGTGTTCTACATTTTTATAAAAAAAAAATATAAACATTAAATAGACAAAAGAAAAATAGCAAAAACTGATCAAAATGTCACTTAATTTAATCAGCTGAAAACAAGGGTATGTACATGTATGTGTACATGTATATAGAGATACATTTGAACATACATTAGACCGCATCACGAACAAAAAAGTTCAATTTGTTCCAAGCAATATTCAGCATTGCATTTTTTTCGGCACCCTGTAGACAGTTATTTGACGTCAGATTTTTATAAGTGATATACCGTTGCATTTCTTAATACCTTTCCAACGAAGTATCATTTATGTATCGAAATCGAAATTGGACATCAAATAAAAATATTATAAAATAAACTAATTTAGCTGTTTTTACAGTGGCGAAAAAATTGAACTTTTTTTTGGTTCATACGTCGTGGCGCGGTTTAATATACATACATATGTATATATGTAATTTATACGCAAGTTTTCTAGTTTATTTTGTAATTTTATATGCACATATGTGTGTGAGTTGACTTTTATTATTGTTGGAAATTCGCATTTTTTATTGAAATTCTGCCAGACAATAGGCGCATATAACTAGTATAAATACTTTACTGTAGCTTCATGCATGTGTGTGTATGTATGCAGTGCTGGCAAACGCAGACAAGTGGGCCAATTGACTGAAGTGTTAATAGCAGTGTAAAGTGGCGTTGTGTATGCTTATAAATGCATGTATGTGTGCTCATATAGCCTTCTGCTAATGATGTTCAAATGATGGCAAATGACTTGAAGAGTCCTTGATTGTTAATAACTATTTAATTTCTGATTTTTCTTTTTTTGCTTAACAGCGTGCGTTTTTTTACGTTGCTCATACGCACCGTCATACCCGCCGCCTGTGTTGACCACTTTTTATGATTTTTTTTTCAATAATTTCTTTTTGCTTGCAGATAAAATTTAAAATTCCTTTGCCGCCCGGTGTAAGCACAACAACGCTGATACCGAAGCTTATACGAACGAAGGATGTGAAGCAGCTGCAGGACGGCAGCGCGCAGCCGACTAAACCGAAATTAACGGTAACAAATTTAATATCAGCAGCAGAGAGCACACGCAAGGCGATGTTCGCAATTNAGCGCGCAGCCGACTAAACCGAAATTAACGGTAACAAATTTAATATCAGCTGCAGAGAGCACACGCAAGGCGATGTTCGCAATTGATTTTGATTTCTGGTTTTCTTTTTTAAAAATTTTCGCATTTTTTTTTAGCTTTAAGTGTTGTTTTTTATAATTCACTTGTATGCTAATACTATTCTCTCGATCTGTCTAGAAATGCCTTAACACATTGGATCTGACATCGCTGGGTGTTGGTTCGTGTTGTGGCACTGGTATGTACCTGGTTGCGGGTATGGTGGCGAAAAATCTCGCTGGACCCGGTGTGATAATTAGTTTTATCATAGCTGCGATAGCCAGCATTTTCTCAGGTAAGATAATTCGCAGCTTAGTTAATTATGGCTTGGCTGTATATTTGCAACATAAATATTTCGAATTTCCTTATTTGGTTACGCGTAGGCGCTTGCTATGCGGAATTTGGCGTGCGCGTGCCACACACTTCCGGTTCAGCTTATATGTACTCTTACGTAGCGGTGGGGGAGTTTGTAGCGTTTATTATTGGCTGGAATATGATACTGGAATATTTAATAGGTAAAAGCGGCGACTGTGAATAGTGNTGGTTACGCGTAGGCGCTTGCTATGCGGAATTTGGCGTGCGCGTGCCACACACTTCCGGTTCAGCTTATATGTACTCTTACGTAGCGGTGGGGGAGTTTGTAGCGTTTATTATTGGCTGGAATATGATACTGGAATATTTAATAGGTAAGCGGCGACTGTGAATAGTTNATAGCCAGCATTTTCTCAGGTAAGATAATTCGCAGCTTAGTTAATTATGGCTTGGCTGTATATTTGCAACATAAATATTTCGAATTTCCTTATTTGGTTACGCGTAGGCGCTTGCTATGCGGAATTTGGCGTGCGCGTGCCACACACTTCCGGTTCAGCTTATATGTACTCTTACGTAGCGGTGGGGGAGTTTGTAGCGTTTATTATTGGCTGGAATATGATACTGGAATATTTAATAGGTAAAAGCGGCGACTGTGAATAGTTAGAAATTTAAATTTGCATTTTCATTAACACTTGATTATTGTACACGTATCTAATTTGCTCATGCAGGAACAAGTGCCTGTGCGTGTGCTTTAAGTTCTAGTTTCGACTCATTAACCGGTGGTGCAATAGCGAATGCAATCGGTGATACAATTGGCACCATATTTGGTAGGTCGCTAATGATTTTGTTTTTGCGAAATAACTACGCCTATATTTTTCTTGTTTCGAGTAAATTGTTTTAAATTCCTTTCTCTCTCTCCAGGTAAGCCACCCGATTTTATAGCATTCGGCATAGCGTTGATTATGACCTGCATATTGGCGTTGGGTGCGAGTAAATCGGTGATATTTAATCATACTTTGAATNTATATTTTTCTTGTTTCGAGTAAATTGTTTTAAATTCCTTTCTCTCTCTCTGTCTCTCTCTCTCTCCAGGTAAGCCACCCGATTTTATAGCATTCGGCATAGCGTTGATTATGACCTGTATATTGGCGTTGGGTGCGAGTAAATCGGTGATATTTAATCATACTTTGAACGCCATAAACCTGGCGACATGGGTATTTGTTATGGCAGCCGGTTTATTTTATGTTGATTCCAGTACTTGGACAGAACATCAAGGTTTCCTGCCATACGGTTGGAGTGGTGTAAGTTAAGCAAAAGCTTTTACAATTCCTTAGGCTAGAAAGCCAATTTATTTCTATGTTCTTTCCGACTTTGCAGGTATTCTCTGGTGCAGCGACCTGCTTTTATGCCTTCATTGGATTCGATATAATAGCCACCACTGGCGAGGAGGCGCACAATCCGCAAAAGAGCATACCGAAAGCCATAGTCGGCTCACTAGTGATTGTTTTGATGGCGTATGTGAGCGTTAGTTTAGTTTTAACACTTGTAGGTGGGTGCAAGCGGCATTTTATAATTTTCATTTTATGCACTGACACGTTAATTTCTCTCCGCTTTGCCTGCAGTGCCCTATGACCACATCAACGCGGGCGCGGCGTTGGTACAAATGTGGTCTTACGTGGGTGCACCCAAGTGTCGCGCCATTGTCGCCGTGGGCGCCACTGCTGGACTCTCGGTAGCAATGTTCGGCTCTATGTTCCCAATGCCACGCGTGATTTATGCCATGGCGCAAGACGGACTCATATTCCGGTAGGCAGTTTGCGAACGTTTGCGCGCTATTTCATCTCATTTCTTAATTTTACTTACTACCTTTTTGATTTATTTCGATTTTCTTCGAATGCTTGCAGACCACTCTCGCAATTGTGGCAACGTACCAACGTGCCCGGTCTTGCAACCATTGGCAGTGGTATTGCAGCCGCACTGGTTGCGCTAACAGTGCGGCTGGAAATTCTCGTCGAAATGATGTCCATCGGCACACTACTCGCCTACACGCTGGTCTCCACTTGTGTGCTCGTCTTGCGCTATCAGCCACACAGCACATCGCTGGTTGAGTTGCTGCCCGCGCAGCTGCGCACGCCGCTTGCGCCTGGCACGGCTACAGATCCGAGCGCCACAACCGCTGAGGTGTTGCCGTCGAATAAATTAACAATAAAACGTGTGACGCGTGGCATGTCCGATTCGGATGATTCGTTTATAGATGAGAGTCCTGAAGGTTACTTGGGACGTGATGACCAATTTCTTGTTTCTGATCGTTCGGAGAATAAATTCTATGGCAGCGTACATGGCGCACCAACTGGTCCGACCGGACAGGCGACCGCCTTCGACACAATGGGCTTGAACTTCGTATCACGTAAAATACATGATTATGCATACCTGTGTCCCGGCTTCTTTCCATGGATCAATACGGGGCAGGCCACGGCGGAAAGTGGTATGTCTAATGCTATACTTTTTTTTACAATATTTAAGTAGTAGTAAATATGAGTAGGTTAACTCTTTTCATGTAAATTTATGCACAACATTTGCTCAGTATAACTTCGAAATCGTTGCTTTTTATTATTATCTATTATTTCCATAAACAGGCATGTATGTCACGAAACTTGTTGGAATCATGTTCGGTCTCATATTCTTCTTGGATCTGTTTGCGGCCATTGGCTGGTCCGGTGGCCTCGCCGCATTCATTTATTTCATTTTGTTCATTGGCATATTTGTGATACTATTAATTATATCAAGACAACCACAAAATAGGTAAATAATATTCCACCTGGCAATGCATTAATCACTCTTTAACATTCGCGGACAAATAAAATGTACGTTTTTTTTTGCTTTTTATTTCTTTTATATTAGATATGCGCTCGCATTCCTAACGCCGGGACTTCCATTTATACCAGCAATCGCCATTACAGTTAATATTTATTTAATATTTAAATTAAGCATACTCACATTAGTTAGATTCACTATCTGGATGACATTGGGCTTCATCATGTACTTCTACTACGGCATCACGCACAGTACACTCGAGCAGACGACGGATGATATGGAACTGCATGTCGATAAGGATTACGTAAGTGCGCTAGAAAAGAGAACGAAAAAAAATTTTAGTACACTGCGATTCAAAAAAAAAAAAAAAAAACATATTTTAAACTTTTTTCAGAGTAAAAATGTTGAAGAGAAAGCTGTTTGGGATCAACCAACGTATATGAATCAAAGCAATGAGCCAGTGTGGGCCACAAAGGATACATGCACTAAGCATACAGCAACAACAAGTGGGTGCAACAATTTTGCCACACGAACATATACTTTATATGTATTTTCCTTTTCCTTTTGCTTGTGCTCATTTCAGAACGTTCCAACACAACAAATTATTCCAAAGCAACTGAAAGCAATTCCACAAATCAACAACAACAAAGAAATTCCACTAGTACAAGAAATACAACAGCGAATTCCACAACAACAAGTGATGGCAAATTTACCATGTTCATCGATGAAACGCAATTCCCAACGTGGGATGATTAAAAGTGGCAGGAAAAAGTGAAAACCAAACGTATTTAATTAGTACTATTCCAGAAAAATGAAAAACATAAAGAAACAAAAAAAGTAAAACCAAAACTAAGTTAATAATTTAACAAGGAAAGCGGCACTTAACAATGTACCATACACGCGTATAGAGAAAATATAGACAAAATATAAATAGTTAAAATAAAAATATTAAAAATTGACTTATTGTTATGAGTAAAATTTAAGTGTAGCATTTTTTTTTAAATAGTATATTAAACAAAAATACGCATTTTATGTTTTAAATTGATAAAATAGATTTTTGTGATTCCTTATATACATACATAAGTTCATGGCGAAGGAACTGTTAGAATATGTACATAGCGTGCAAGTGATTTGCAAAACTTCAAAAAAAAAAAAAAATACAAATTTAAGAAAAATACATATGGCGTATGTGTAAAGAAAACACATACATACATATGTACAAGAATGCAAATACTATACACATAGTTATAAAAGAAATTCTCATTATAATTAACATTATTAATATTATAATTATACATATTTAGTATCTAATAAATATTTAAAAAAATATATTAATGATGAGGTTATTAAATAATGTTTGCGAAACTAGTTATACATATAAACATTACATACATACTATATTGTAATTTAAAGCAAATTATATTTATATATTATACATATGTATATACATAAGTATGTATACATACAGCATGTACACATACACTAATGCATAAAATTCTTATTAAATTTAACAAAAAAATAAGAATACTGAATAATAAAAATTTTTAAATTTTACTTAGTAAATTTACTCATCAAAAACATACATAAATGCATACAACAAACACACACACATATGTAATTTTAATGCCGAAAGCTATAAACAAACATGCATAACTAAATTTAAAAAAAGTTAAATGCAGACAGAAAAGGTAGAGTGCATTGATAGCATTTGGCGAGTACAAGTGCATGAACACATTCTAAATGCATACACACATATGTGTGTATGTACATATGTGCATAAATGTACATTAGACCGTACCAGAAAAAAAGTTCGCCGTACACCCCTGAGTCTAAATTATTTTTTTCGAGGCAATTTGTAATTTGTTTTGTTGAACGTTGGGGGAACATATACAGCTGCCGTCAAATTAATAGCACCATATGGTTCGCAACTTTTGTTTATTTATTTATTATTAATATTTATTAATAATATTATAATTATAATAATTATTAAATTATAGTTCGACCTATAACCAAAATCACATAAGGAAAATTTTAAAGCTTACACAAAGTTCACAAAAATTAATCAAATTTCAAAAAACTGCACCTCTCATTTCAAAAATTGTTTTCTAGAATTTTTAATCAATCAGTTTAGTATAATAACGTGCAAGTTTCAAGTTTTTAAAAATTACCTTTGATTTTTTCAAAATACTCGAAAAAAAATCTAAAAATATACCGGTAATAGTTAGTGACTTGAAAGTTGTACTTTAGATATTATACTATAATTGAATAGGCTCAAAAACTGCATACTCGAAAATTTTCCTAAAATTATAGACAAAAAGTTGGAAATTTTGATTATATTTTTGGTTTTACTAATTTAAGTGAACTTTGTGCAAGCTTTGAAACTTTATCTTTATTTATGTTTTCCTTTATAGATCGAACTACTACTAGCCTAATGCCAGTAAATAGAAGCTTGCCAAAAATCATTAACTTTTGCTAAGGAAGTATGTATTTCGATACGAAGGCATTTTCGAACTTTTTGGTGCCGAACGTAAAATTTTGTAAATAAATAAATATTTCGCCATGTCTTCGGCATTTACGGTATGATATATAGATGTTATATATATTTTTTTTTTGTTCTAAACTTAATTGATCTCAAGTACCCATTCTAGTACTTACCCACAAGATCTCAGCTCTTATCCCATAACGTACTACCCTAATATTAGTAAATTAAAGCTCACCAAAAATCATTAGCCCTGAAACTGTAAAAAGGCAAAGGCCAAAAAAATTCAGTTTTTTTTCCGAAAATGCTTTGCAAAAATTCTTTAGACTCAGGGGAGAACGGCCAACTTTTTTTGTTTGCTTTTAAGGTGGTACGGTCTAATGTACATACCCTGCCAGCAATTGGAAGAAAATTTTTAGTATTTACAAACAAAAAAACATAATTTCTATCGCTTTTCTACCTTCCTAGCAGGTTATTTTTTTTTTGTCAGTTTGTTCTCCATTTTCAGGTGATCAATCATGTTTAACTACTTATGTACATATTAAACAGATGTGATGTTAACTTTTTTATACATTCATATTTAGTTAAAATTTCATAGAATATGGCTGCAATTGAGCTTGCAAGCTAAATAGAATCCGGAAGCGGATAAGAACTAGAAAATTTTTACAGAAATGTCGTACCGAATTAGTGACTTCCGCGATAGAAAATGCTGACAGGGTCCATTAGAAGGGTCCGAAAATACATAGGAAAAGCACCTTTTTGGAATTTTCCCGCTGCCATCAACAGAACTTAAGAATAGCGAAAATAAGGAGACCCGTATTTTTTATTTGAAAATTAGTTAATATTTAACAGTGCCGTCGGGTCTTTGATGTTTCCCATATATTTTACATGGGGAAAATAGATTTTTCCTTAGAATTGTTATAAAATCATTAAAAATAAATATTTTCTATCAAATAAGAATATTTCCCTTCAGAAATCTACCAAAATAATTAAACATGGGCACATTTCTAACTTTAAAATTTTACACAACGTTACGAACACATAAATAGCACATTTTCTATAAAAGAAATAAGATTATCGGTTATGAAAAAGTAGTAGGCCAAACTTTAAAATTTAAATATGTATAAATTTAATTTTTTTTTTTAAGATTTCTGAAGAGAAAGACTCTTGTGCGGTCAAAAAAATTTTACTTTGAACTATTTTATAGCAATTTTACAAAAAAGTATATTTTTGATTAACCGATTTGAAAATAAAAAATACGGATCACCTTATTTTCGATATTCTTCAGTATTAGGGGGTGGCCGGAAAATCCCTTTGAACCACCTTAATGTACATGCATACATACAGTCAATGGCAAATGTTAGTGTACACCTTGTTCTAATGAAATATTTACAATTGTCTTCATGAAATTTTTTGTCATTCATTATTATTTTTTAAATATAGTTCATTCTACAACAAAAACCATATAAAGCAAAGTTTCACACTTTATATAAAGTTCACAAAGATTCAAAAAATTTTCATAAAAATTTAAAAAATTTTATTCAGAATTTCTAGAAAATTTTCGAGTATGCACCTTTGTAGCCCGTTCAATTTTAAAAATAGATTTTGATCACGTGTTTTATGGAAGAAAACGCGCAACACCCTCCACAAAAAAATTTAAAAAAATCAACGGTAACTTTCAGCGACTTGAAATTTGCACTGTGAATAAAAATTTTTAAACTTTGATGAAAAATGTTTGAATTTTTGTGAACTTTATATTAAGTGCGAAACTGTGATTCATATGGTTATGTTGTAAAATGAACTATATTTTCATAAATAATTAATGAAACAAATTTCTCATGAAAATAAGTGTGAACATTATATTATAACAAGGTGTACACTTACATTTGACACTGACGTACATACATAACTGCCTACAAACATAAAAATAGTTGTTAAATATTTAAATTGATTTTTCGTAAATATCAAAGTTAATACAATGCTGAGTGTGAAAATAATTATTTTTAACCACATACATACATAGAAAACAATCTAACTGTTATATCCAACGTGCTATTGTTACAAAATTTATGCAGAATTTCAATTTCATTAATGCCATATCTATTGTGAAATGAAATGTTACGAAAAAAGTAGTCAAAATATAAAAACTACGGAAACCAGTTGAAAATTTAATAAAAGAAAAAGAACTACATAAAATACGGCCATATGTATAGTATGTATATTGTATAAAAAAAACACATACCAAAGTAAAGCATGACAACTAAGTACCGAAAATGAATAAAAATATCTGAAAATTGTAACAACCAATAACAATTTTGAAGCTAAAAGCCTAAAAGCTAGTGAATAAAAAAATATATGTAAATGAACGAAAAACAGGCAAAAACATAACCAGTTCGTTTGACCCCGAATATACCTCTACTTTATTGATAAAAATGTTAAAATGCAATAAAAATTTTATGAACTGCTGCGGTCGCGAAAAAAGTTCATATGAAATTTATAAGAAGAAACAGTAAGAAAACCACTGAAAGTTGAAAGTGAGTGATGAGCGATTGGGCATTATTTTCAAGCCATTACTACTTTGTTTCATAATATTTAAGCAAACGCTGAACTTAAAAAAATCAAGTTTTTACTAACTAAATGCTTCATCACACACACAGTTATGAAAATGACTTTTTTTTTTTAATTTTATTAGTTATATGTAAGTTAAACGCTTTGGAAATGCTGAAAAAGTATTTTTTCTCCTTTAATGAGGGGTAAATATAAAATATTTTTATCTAATAAATTTATAAATTTTTATACTGAACTTAAAAAAACTATTGCTTACTAAATTATGTAAATTAACAAATCAAATTTTTATATACAAATACTTATACGTGCGTGTGTGTATTCTTCGTTTGTTTGTTAAAACACAATTTCATATTTGATCAAAGCCATTGGGTCAGCTTTGATCTATGGAATTGTGCGGATTTGACAAAATAAATATGCAACTCTAATGTAAACAATTTTAAATTTACTTTTATATACAAAAAAATTATACATATGTCAACTAATACAATTCTCACTGCTGAAATTAAATGTTTTGTAAGAATTAAGAATTTTTAAGGCATAAAAGCTTTAGTGCATGTACATTACAGGTTATGCACTCTCTCTCTCTCTCTATGTATCTTTTTTATATGTATTTACTTTATACAATGTAATAATAAGTTAAAAATTTAATAAGTATGTACTTCATTTTGTTTAATACTAACTAAACAAATTAAAATTTAAAAAGCAAAAGAAAAATTATCAAAATTATTTAATGTCACTTCGACACTGTAAATTATTTTTGAAAATTTATTAGCTATAGCGCATTGTGTGTAATAAAATTAAAAAAGAACTTGTTAAGATACCAAAACAAATATACAATTCAAACAGATGAGGGTTACATGAAGAACCATTTTACAAAATTGTTTCGCGATATTTACTGCAAGCATGTAGTTGAGATTACACATGCCAAAATAGCAATAAAAAATATGCCTAAAAGCAGTAAGGAGTAAAAGTGGAACAAGTCTAAGAACTCGCGTAAATAAAAACATATCTTATTTTTTTTGTAACACAAGTAAAGGAAATCGAGTGGTCTTATTTAGATAGCAAGCGAAGAGTTTCCAAAACGCAGATGAAATGGAGGAATTTCAATTGA